TATGTCTCCTCAGGATTTTCTAAGTGAATGTGCTCTTGTACTTAAGTTCATATTCAGTGTTGGGGGCCAGTTTCCATTTTGACCACTCACGTGTGTCAGGTTAGCACCTGCTAACCAGCACCTGGCTAATGCTGGAGATAAAATTGCTTGAAAGCAGATGAGAATTTCCACATTTAGAACCTTTGCCAGCAATTGTGATCCATATTTTTTCTATCTAATATCATTAGGACAAGTTTTCCTTTCTTGGCTATGGTTCCTTATTTCAAAGGAAATTCATTAGCATACATTAATCTCTTACATCTCTTCTGCATATTTTAGCTGTAGCCTTATCTCCTCATTTATATTTATTACCTGCTTTATTTATATAAGGTGAAGTATTGTGTTCATGGTGTCCCCTCTTAGAATACTAATCACTTCCTATATTTTAGGCACTTATGCTTTTGAGTATTTAACTTAAAATAACTGAGAAAGGTGTTTTATTGCTTCATCACTGACAGAAGGATGCTCTGTGTGGATGCTCTGTGTTGAGCTGAGGGAAAAGAGTAAGGTCATCCAAATTCCAAGGTGACTCTTCCTTCCATGGAGCCAGAAAACAAGCCAGAAGAGGAAAAGACCTGGAAAAACTTCTCCCGGGATCAGTGTACACTGATTAACCTAATGTCAGAGAGTAATAATTTATGATTCTCTGGGTGCAAACAGAGGTTGATCTATGAATTTCATGCCATTATCCTTATTAATCTGCATTATTGATGAGAATTGTTTCAACCTCTCCCATGAGCAGGGTTAAATCTTAACACCTGTACACCTATACCATTAGAAGTTGTAATAACTTTTCTCTTATTTCTACTCCAGATAAGTGTTTCTCATTAAATTTTAAATTCTGTTTCACTCTACCAGTGAAATTAACATTTATATAGCTGACCCTCACTTCTGATGCATTTCAAAACTCTATAGTCAATTAATAACAAATCTAGAAACCATAATTTATGCCACTGTAAAATTTAACTAACCAAATGGGAGTCTGTTGAAAATGAGTGTTCCTTTCTTTACTCTGCTTAAAGAAACATTGCGCTACTTTCTTTCCTTTCCACACTCACTGGTGAAAATTAATTAATTTGTAAGAATATCCTCCAAAAGAGGCAATTGTAGCTAGGAGATCTAGTCCAGTCACTAATTGTTCCATGTGGAAACTCTTTTCTTTAACAGATTCCAATCACATAGAATAAAGAGCCCTTGATTAAGTTTATCCAGACTGGTTACTTGCATAAAGCATACAAACAGAGCAGAATTTACTTCAAAAGAGGACCCTTTCTCAACTTTCCTAGGGAAAAGAGATGGCATGAAACTACCAGATTACAAGGAAAGATAAACTTGACAAGACTTGACAAAGTAGTAGTAGTATATGCTGATTTGTTGTGAGAATTTGAATTGCATGAGTTAATAAAATTTGAAATTGTGGTATACAGTAGCAGAAGCTTCTTTTCAAGATGTATCTGCAACTCATATGCATTGTCTCACAGGTTTTCCTTTTCTAATCTCTCCACAGGCCCTTCCCATGTTGCTAACAGCAAACGACTCAGCATTCATACTGAGCAAATTTCAGCATTGCAGGCAGCTTTTGATTAATAATCTCAGGTATTTCCACTCCACAGAGCATTTCTGGTTCCATGACCTCCTGCATGAGAGGACTGAGAAGAGGAATTCTCTCCCACAGGGAACAATTTGAATTGCGTGAGAAATAAGGGACATCCATGTGATTTTCCTTGCACCAGACCTTGTTATGTTTTCCATGGAGAGGCTCTATCTCCATGGAAAGGGAAACAGTATCTCCTTTTCACTTTTCTTTATATCAGATGATTGTCTTTCCTCAAGATGTCAACTTCCCTAGGCAAGACTCCATTTCTCCTTTGGGAGAAGTGTGGGCTGGAGCAGCTTTCTGGTTATTGGTGCTGCAATGGGAATGCACTCAGCCGTGATGGGATGGATTCAGGACAGCTGTGTCCAAAGGCAGCAGCTGCTGTGAGACAGCAGCCAAAGATGCCTTTCTTGCCACGCTGATGGTAGGCTGGCAATGAATGAATGATATGGACACAAGCTGTCAAGAGGGGTGCAAATAGACAGAGTATTGATTAAATAATGGTGATACTTACGGCACCCTGCAGTGAGTCATCATATAGATAAATCACCAGATATGGGGGTTGACAGATGGTGAATGACTCTTATATAATTGAAAAGTACATTTGAAGCCTGCCGAGAATGTTCCAGAAACAATTTTATGATTTCATTCAGTTTGGAGGAACAATGAATGACTGGGGGTTTTCATAAATTTCACATTTGTTTGTACATTTTTCACATGAATATTATAGATGACACTGTGTATAATTCACAGTCACTTCTTCCTAAAATAATTTTCATATTTTCTAAAGGGAACTATTAGATCTATTTTTTTGAAATCTCATCACTATATTTTGTGAGAGTATAAATCTTTGCAACGATCATAGTTCTAAATATAACATGAAAATAAATTTTTTAAAAAATTAATGTTGCAGTTTTCAGAAGATACTTCCATTTCCCTGACACATTCTGCCAACCATTAAAAAAAAGATAGAAAATACAGAGCATTTATTAATCAACAACAAGAGAAATGATAGTATCCATTTTGTTTAGGGCAGTTAAACAAATCAATATGAGTTTATCAAGATACTTGGATGTAACAACCTTCTAGATTAAATGTATTATAATATAATGCCTGCTTAAATAAGCTCTGAAAATTATACACTATTCCCTAAGAAATTATTTATGCAATTGCAAGTACAAATATGTACTACAAAATCAGAGGGGATTTGATGCGAACAAAAGAACAGAAAAGGGTTCATAATATACAAGGCTGATGGAGGAATTTTTTTTATAAATATCAATATTTTTCAATATATGAGTAGAGAAAGAGAACCTAGCATTCACCTTGTAATGGAGGGCTAACATGAGGCTAATGCAATGACCAGAGGCAGAACAACTTACTAAGAATTGATTTTACTTGGACAGTTACCATTCTGTAGTAATGATGATGTTTTGTTTAGGTTTGGATCTTCAGTCTGTGCTGACCTGGTCTATCTGCCAAAAGTCTTTCTGTTGTTTTACAGGCATTTTGGAACTACTGTGCTTACACCATTTCTCATCCAGGAGGAAAAATGTCCCTGACATGGCTCAGAACAGCACTCTTCCTCTCCCCCATTCATGTATTTAATTTACACCGTTGTATTTTTCATTAATAGGTGCTCATGCACTAAATGTGTGACCAGATTTTTTAAGACCGTTGAAAATATCTTTAAGTACATAAATAAAAAGATAACTTTCATACATTCTTTTTACTGTTGAGTATATCTGTCCATCTTTATCCAATGAGAAATATATTTTCCTGTCTCCAGCATTTACCTAGTTACTGTGCCTGTCTGCAAATTTCTAGATATTGTTCAATGAGTCTTACAGGCCAGACTTCACTAAGAATGTGCTAAATACAGAATTCAAAAGATCACTTGAAACTGGAAAAATAAATAAATTATACATTTTCCCAAAACTATGGAGTTGAGCATAAAGTCAACTAATGACCTATGCCTGGCAACAAAAGTCAGGACCTTCCTCCTTGTGAGAAAAGGAGAAAGATTAAATAAATAAATCAACAAACAAACCAAGAGTTCAAAGAGTATAATACTGTAGGAAAGCATATTTAAGATCATCAGTGTTTTTTATGATGGTGCTTTGATTATATTGAGTGGAATGTAGTGATAAATATGAATAGAAACCTACATAAGAAGTGTTTTACATAGAGCAGATTGTGCTTCCAGCAGATATCTGAAGGGGGTATCTGATTTATAATCAGGAGTTCTATACCTTGCCAAGCAGTAAAATATGATTCAATTGAATTATATAGTTTAAAACTGAATAAAAAAAATTAATGATAAGGTTATGTATTAGCAGGCAAGAAATCAATGTCCATTTGTGTAGCCATTCAAAGAGTATTCACACATTTTTGCACATGCATCTGAGAAGCACTGTATGTAGAGTTCTGCTAATGAAAGAAAACCATTCACCCTCAGATAATCAAATGCACTGAAGGTATGTGAAACAGGATTATTGATATTTGAGGTATATGCTTACTTGCATCAACACATCATGCCAATTTCTTCTTTGCCATGGAATGACAATAATTTTAAAAATTAAAAAAAAAGAACAGTCAATATCAGACAGGACAATGTGAGCAATGATTTATGGCTGATAATTTACGAATGTAGAGTAATTAGTGAAGATTTGTGATTTACCAATACCTGTCCAAGTTGCTGTAGACAACTGTATAAATTGTATGGAACCAACCTCAGTGTTTCTTTTCTTCAAATCAGTAAAAAGAAATATAGCGATTTGGTAAGTTTGGGATTAGCTCTTAATACTTGATCAGCTGTGCTTGGAAAGAACCACAAATGAAGAAAAGCAATTCAATGCATAATGATGTAAATAATAAATGCACCTGGCTCATAGATGACAAATGCAGATAAATACAGACTAATGAGTTTGGATCCAAAAAAAGTAACAGTGTGTAGCTGCTAAATGAAAAGTGAGCATCAGGGCATCGACCTAAATAGAGATTTGGGAACTATTACAGACAAAGCCTTAAACTCTGTAGCCCATTAGGTGGCTAAACCAAGAAATATAACTGAGATACTGGGATGCAGCTAAAAATGTGCAATATAAATCAAAGTCTAAACTTATTTTCATTAATGAAGCAACAATCACAAGGTTGTACACACTAATTATAACTAACAGACAGGAGTTCATATCAATCACCAGGCAGGATAATTTTTAAAGATGGAAATAATTAGGTATCTGTATTTAGGTCAAAGGGCAAGACACTTAAAATCCAGAGTGATAACCACTTGGCAGCATCCATTCAAATAAGTACAGATGCCTAATCCCATGCCCTGTACAGACAATGCACAGAAATAAATTACCTTCCCCAATATTTCCAGGAGGCGATCAAGGCTTCATGAAGTGAAGTAGCTGAAATGCAGATTTGGAGTAATTAATATGACTTTGCATGAAATTGTAGCAGATTTCTTGAGGTGATTGTGAGCAAGGAAAGCTGCTCAGGTATTGCTGTTGTGTGTTGCTGCTTTATGGTTGCTGTGTATCTCCTCAAAGTGGCCTTCAACATAACTGCCCATGGCATACTCCGTGGCAGTTGTAGATATGCGTTTGTATACACAAGCATGCATGTACACAGCAGATGCTACATTGTATAAAAATATATCTGTTTCTCAATTCTGTAATGATTTCTGAGTTTAGAATAGTGGTTTTGAGGAAACTCTTAGTTATTCAATATATATATTCCCCAAATATTCTGAAAAAATTATTTTCATAAGAACATTAGTGAATGTAAACTAACTGCTAACCATGTAACTGGCCTTTGATATATTTTTACCCTAATGTTTTAATATCTTAACTATTATAAGTGAGGAAAATACCAGGATTTTGTTATTAACAACTAAAATGTGAATGTTATTTCCTTCTCATTCAGTCAATAAGCCTCTACATTACAAATGGCAGAATCCCATGAATATTTGTAGTGAGAAAGTCAAATCAAAGTGTGCCTTGCTCCTTAAGAATCTGACAAAACCAAACCATTCTCTCTAGCCTGGAGGTCAGAGCACTTACAGGAAAGATAGTGAGGACTTTCAGCCAGAAAATTGCTGAACCTTATCTAACAGGTAACAGTGAATCTAACAAATATAACTCTACCCAAGGCCAGTTGGAAGAGGAAAGGCCAAAGGAGAGCCTGAGGATGGTGGAAAAGCCTTGAGGGGAAGCCATATGGGAAGCTGAGGTCACTTGGTCTGCTCAGCCTGGAGAAAAGGAGACTGAGGGGAGACCTCACTGCAGTTACAACTTCCTTGTGAGGGATAAAGGAGGGGCAGACACTGATCTCTCCTCTCTGGTGACCAGTGACAAGACCCAGTGACCAGAGAAAAAAGCATGAAGCTGAGATGGGAATCAGGAAAAGGTTCTTCACACAGAGGTTGGTTGGGCATTACAAAAAGCTCCCCAGGGAAGTGGTCACAGCACCAAGCCTGACAGAGTTCAAGAAGTGTTTGAACAATGCTCTCAGACACATGGTGTGATTCCAGGGGTGTCCTGCAGCAGGAGTTGGAATTCAATGGTCCTGATAGATTCCTTTCGACTCAGCATATTCTTTGATTTTTATGATTTGTCCAACTGAACCAACCTCTGCTCCCAGAATAATTTTTTTCACAAAGCAACTCTGTCCTAAATTTGCAAGTCCAGCACATATCTTACATTCTCCTCTCCACAGGAATCCCTTTAAGGGCAGAGGGTTTCATTCAATGAGCTTCTTTTTATGTCTCAGTTTTGAAAATGACATTCTACTTTTCTCTGTCACCTCACTTAAACATTTGGTTCTCTTATCTGAGAAGACATGGTTTTCAGTTAACCACCTTACTTTCTGCAGTGGGTATGTGATGTGATCTGCTTGGAGATCTGCAGCTTTCCCAATCAAGCAATACTTTTGATCCCATTAAACTTCTGTGTTGTTAATATAATCGACCAAGATTTTGCTGAATCTCCCAAAATAGTGCATTTTCTTTAAGTAGGCAGGGTCCACATCTCTCATTTTCCATGGCCATGATAAAAAATGTTAATTTCTTCTGACGTGGGAAAAAATAATTTCTTTCAAAATCGTAAGTCCTCATTCATGGACTGGAGGTTTCCAGCAGCCTTCCATTTCAGTGAAATGTGGAATGTATATAAGTACAGATGGTATTCAGCAGGCTAGCAAGTGAAGGAAAGATAATGTCTAGAGGAAAATGACTATGTTTAAAAACAAGACAGGTTTAAAAATATTTCTAATTATAATTAAATTTTTCCAAATTGATAGAGTTCCATTTACATCTTCTAGAATTCCATTTACATCTGCATATGTAAAAGGTGCATGTGCATGTATATAGAGAGATAGATGCATATCCTAAATTACCAGATAGTATCCTCTAACATAGAATCAGCTTCAATTCCCATCCATCTATAGATGTCACAGTATATTAATCACTGAGATTGAAAAGAGCTATCATATCTCTAATGGAACATCTGGCATAATAGACAGGCAGGCGTATTTGCATTCAGCCACTGAGGCCTCAGCAAATTATCAAAGCTTTGGATTCTGAAAGTACTTTTGTTTAAATGGAGCCCGTTTTGGTAATGATTATATGTTAAAGCATAATAAAGGAGTGTCTTTATAGTTCCAATAGGGAAGCAAAGCACACAATGTGGAAACATTAGAAGTATTCATCTCTAAATGTCACTCAGCTACAAAGTTTGACAGTTGCACAGACTAGCCCAAATGGGAACTTGGGGAGCAATACAAAATCCTGATATTGGACAGATTTTGAAAGGCATGTGGGGACAACAAAACCACATTGTAAGTGCTGTCTGACTCTCATCACACAGTAATTGTTGAGCTCTCTGGAACAGTAAAAGAAAGAAAATTAAAATATGATGCATTTGTTCAAACAAATATGAGTTCAAAAAAGAACAAATGTTAGTCTGCTTCTCCAAAATGTACATCTTTACAAATCCACTGTCACATGGAGAAAAAGACAAAGCTTTTGAAGGACATTTGCATAAGATATTTGGGTACTTACTTATTTTGTATATTTCAATTGATCAAGCAAAAAATCTTTTTATACATCCTTAATTTTATACTTGAATGAACTATCATTTGACTTCTACTGACTTTACTCATACAAATGAAGTTAAGGATACACAGATATGCTTTCCTGGATTCTTTATCCAAGTACTGATCCTTATCATAGGCCTCTGTATGCAAAATGATTTTTTTTCAATGGATTTAAACCAGGCAACTAATGTAGCAAAGCAACAGCTTCATCATTATAGCTGTCATTGTTATCTCCATTTTTCAGTTGTTTCTCCCATTTTTCATACAAATGTCTCTTATTGATGCTCAGTATCAATATTCCATGATCGTGCATTATTGAGATTTAATGTGAGTTCTGCTATTGATTTCAGCAAGACCCCTGGTGAGAAAGGAAAACAAAAAAGAGTACAGTGTTCTGTAGGTACCAGACCAAATTTCATGCTGAAATCAATAAGTTTATTGGTAGTGTAAAGCCAATACAGAATTTAGACTGAATAATCTTGAGCAATTAGATGTACCCAGACTTGCATGGCTTCAGTCTTCTATTGATTTTGTCATTGCCTTACAATGTGTGTTTTAGTAGCAATTATACTTTCTGGCAAACTTTTTTTTCTATCTCAGCATCTAAATTGTTGCTTCTTGATTAATCAACAGGAAAAATCAATGTTCTATCCATTACACTTCCAAGCTTTAATTCAATTACCATCTGTGAACTAATCAAACATTGATCTAGCTATGTCAATAGGCAGAAGGCAATTTTTTTTATACCACTATATTTCCTTGTCATTAAAGGTTACATTTTAGTACATTCAGTTCAAGTCTAAATATTTAGTGTAGTTCAAAACCAAAAATCTTGTCTCAACTTTAATTTCATTTAATTAAAATCTCATAAGACCTTTCATGTCCTTTTGCTTATTTTCTGCCATTAGTTCTATACTCGTGCAGGGTTATTTTGCAAACTAAAGTCCAAAATACTTTTTCCAGGGTGATTTTAATAGACTGAAACAAGAAAGAACAATTCCTTTTTGTTTTCATCAGAAATTTCAATTGTTTTGAAATTTATTTGTCCATCATTTCAATTCTATTGCCACTGACTTCCTCCTCTCTTAACAGCTGTTCTGTCTCATTTGAGGAAAAAGGGCTCTAGTTTGTGGGATTTTTATGAGTAAATCCCTAGTAAGGGGTTTTTTTTTCTTCCATGAGTTTCCCTGTCACTGCTTCTACAATTTTGCTTACTGTATGTCTCTAGATAAATATCAAATAATTTTATCTAAAAACCAGCTACCAGCAGTTTTGAGAAAAGATGGGGTTAAGCTCTTACTTACTGTTTCTGTGGAAGCAATTACCAAATGGTAACTCCACTATTTTTATTGTCCAGTCATAGGGCTATCATTGTTGAAAGAAGTAAAATAATCATAATGATCAACATTAGCCCTAGTAACATTATTACACTGAAAAGTGACAATCTAAAACAAAATAGACAACAGATAAACAAAACCCACAAAACAAACAAAAAAGAATTCCAGGGCCCTTTCATACCTTGGATTAAAAGACTTAAAAAACACAGAAGTGTCTGCCCTAAGGGGAGAGGGACCTGACTGTCTTTCCTTCTATATAAACAATCACTAAAAATAGCTAAAGCAAGAATTAAATAGGTAAACCTCCTTTATGGCAGTTAGCTTTGCCTTAGGGAGACTGGATACCCTGAATATCTTTTAACAGGTCTAGAGGTTGTAGCCTAAAAATAATTCCAAAACCCCTAAAGATAATAGCCAAGTAAATTACCTAGAAAAGGCACATAAGAAGTTCAGGCAAGACTTTGAAGAGCAGGAGTCCTGAATTGTCCTGTCTCTTTCTTTCCACCAAATCTTAGCTTATGCCTCCGCTTGAGCACAGATCTCTGAACAACCTGGTGTTTCACTTTTGCTTCCACTGCCACTCTACAACTTCAGTAAACCATGGCAGCTTTACCTAAGTGTTTTAAAATTAGTCTTTAGGCGTGATTAAAACTCTTTTCCCCTCAAAATTCCAGATGCCTTTTAAGTATGAGCTGTATCTTTTTTTCTTTTACTCATTTAATATTGTGTTTAGCTGTCTCATTTGGGTTTAACAAGTGCTTATTTTTCTTTTATTTCAAAAATAAGCAACTATTAGATTCTGATATAAATCATCTCAAATTCTGAAACAGTATTAACATCCTCTGGAACGAGCGCTCTGGCCTTGCTGTGCTTGGAAGGAATTTGCTTAAGTGTTGCCAGGTAATTACTTTCTCCAGTTGATATCAATATTCTTATATTAATAACTAGTTATATTATCAAATGACCTCAATATACTTTTCATAAATCATGTAATTATTCATCTACAAGAGTATTAAGAAATTATTACATGAAGGTTACATAAAGATACAGAGCATTTACAACATGTCTTAAAAGGCACTTGTCATCTTAGCCATAAAGAAGAGCCAAAATTTATTGTACTGAGAGGAAATATGAGTCAAATAAAAGCTAACTGTTGCTTTTACTATGTTCTTTTATTGAAAACACCTTTCTGTGAATCTTAGGTCTTCACTTGTGAAAGGAATAGAAGCAAGTTAATTTCGTAACAACACTTACAGCTCCAATGAGAATCCCGATACCACTATGTTCACATGTTCCTCCATGGAATACCCTTACATTGTTCTACACAAAAGATATTTAAAACCAATCTCAACCTGATTTTTCCAGACAAAAATAATTCCAATATTCCAATTCAATTCTCCTAAATGGTCCTGTTTCTGAGAAAATGCTCCTTATTAAATGGTTTTAGAGTTTTTGAGTATTTATGACTTACAATTACAGAAAACTCACAGTAATCAATATTTATTCTTCAATAGAACATGAAATAATATTGAGAATTAAAGGGGCATGTAAATTATGGAAATCTACATTTTGAGGCCTGTACAAAGTATGGTGTTTTATGATCTTGAATTATACCTTCTGGACATTGCTTCAGCTATATACTGGGACTCCAGAAACTTATTGACGTGTTCTAAACCAGTAAAGTGATAACATAAACACCTGAAACAAAAAGCTACACTAGTATACTGGATGGTGGGAATATCCAGATAGTGGAAATATCCAGATCTATCTGTCTTCAACATTAAAAAGACTCAGAGAAGATTGCAATTACCTAATCACACAATAAATACTAGTAATTATATTAAAAATCCACTCTTGTAATTCTAAATGTGTCTGTGCTATTTTCATACTTCAAAATAGCTCTGTGCTGTAAAAGTTTTAATATCTTCAGAAAATCTAAAGAAGGTACTGAAACTCCAGTACCTTTCTGTGTCACTTTGTTCAGTACCTCACCAATCTTATAATGAAAAACATTATTCATATATAAAAGTACAAACTTGTTGTCTTGCTTCTGTGGTGACTGTCATTTGTCATTATTTATTTCACTGTACTTGCCTGAAAAGCCTGGTCATAGCTCTTCTTTAGCTCTTAAGTACTGGAGGAAAACTAGTTATTACTACAGACTTTTTTTTCCAGGCTGAACAAATCCCTTCTAGAACCAAGGAGCCCAAAACTGAACAAGGCATACTGGGTGTAGCATAAAGAAACCTGAGCAAAAGGGAATAGTCATGGCACTTACCCTCTAGCTACTGTCTTTCTAATACAGCTGAACTGCTGTCAGCATTCCTCCAGCCCGAAGGAGCATGGCTGACTCATTTGTGAGATGCTATTCTACATTTTACACCATCATCCGCAAAAAGTCCCAGCTGCAGCAGTCTTCAGGATAAAGGGAGCAGAACAGAGTGCTTAAACAAGTGGAGTTACTAAGCTCAGAGGTTAGTGCATGCTTCAAAACCTCTTGGAAAGGGACTATATTTAAACATTGATGTGTGTGTCTTCCTGAGCAGGCATCCCCAGGCATTAATATTCAAGGCAGGTTCAATTAAATATTAACCTACCTGACCCTTCATTCAAAAGACCTGAGCATATTTCCACTTGTTACACTGGGAAAAAAAATCTGGGAGTATTCTTCTATTCTTGGGTCTACCTGAGTAACTATGGGACTGGAGCCGAGTGGCACTGCCACCAACTAAAGCTCTAGCCTGCATTTGCTGCTCAATCCTGATGGCTCACCCAAATGCAATCCCATTCAAATCAATGTGCAGAAGGTAGCTCAGCATCATCGCTTCCCTACATGACACTTCATACATTTCAAATCAATTCCTGCAGTATTTGCAGTCATAGGATACAACTCTCTCCTTTAGATCTTTCAGTTAGAATTAAACTGAAATTTTAATTTATTTTATAATTCTGTTCAATCAGCAAAAATTACTCAAATCAACATTATGTTATTAATTTTATGACTTTTTCAGAGCATACAGTGTTCCACTTTTACACTGTTTGTTGATCATTGACTAACATGATCAATTACTCCAGTCCTTGTTAAGTCACAGGATAATGTTGGTTTTAGTTCTTGGGTGTTAAATTTTAACATGCAATGCTGACCTTTTTGCTTAGTTGCTCTTTCTTAAAGTGCATTTTTGGGAAAAATTTACAGACTACCTCTCATGCCACTTACAAATAATGAGATTTTCCTGTTATAATTTTTTTAATAGTGTGGCACACTCACCTCCCACCAGGCAGCTTATACAAATTACTACAAACATAAAGGTAAATGTTATTTTAACACTTGTTTTGGACTCCAACATAGAAATATATTACATATTTTATTAGCTCATTTACCACCTACTAAGATATATTATTAGCTAATTCATTGAACATGATATGTGTTAGGTAGATTTCATTACCACTTTAAAGGGACTCTTCTCTGAGTCTGGTCTGTGCTTTTCTGAACCCACAGAATTTACTGTTTGTGTGCTTATAAGTGAAAAATGAACCTGAGAAATGTAAAAAGGCATAAAATTAAAGAGAAGGATCTGCCTCTGTCTCACACACCATACCTTATTATTATTATAATAAGTAATTGATTTCTCACTGCCATTGTTCAATAGCTCTGATTCACAGCCCATTAAGGATAATGAAAGAAAAAGACTCATGAGTGAGACCTGAACTTCATTTAAGTACTTGTTAACACTTACAATGACTCTGTAGGATTGGGAATTTAGTAAATGTCGAAGTGGCAGAATCTCAGACAAATCTCTTTGGTCTTGAATTTTGGTGGGACATATAATCCAAAATTCCCAAGCTCTGTTGAAAGTCTTCATAATAAAAGAGATATCAACTAGGACTTTTAATAGCCTAATCCTACTGGGCATTATTATAGCCTTGTGTTTGCATAAACCTGCTACAGTTCAGGTTGCCAGCAATAAATGAGTCATGCATGTTACAATTAATGCATAGAGATTTTAGGGATTGTCACCTTTGAAAGCTGGTTCTGTCTTAATAAAGAACTCATTCTATTAATGTACTACATGTATTATATGTAATCTGAAAATAATTTGGGGTAGGTTTTTTTGCTGTATCTTAGCGAAAGATTTTTTCTTATAATTTGACATAGCTTTTCTCATAATATATAAAAAATATGTTTTTAATAGCATTGTAGTCTACAAACACATCAGACACTTCAGGGCTCTAACCAGTCTTTAGAAACCTCCTGAGGATCTTAATACTATTAAAAATGTGTAGCAAAAAGCCATGGTGACTGGAGTGAGAATAGAAAATGAGGAGCATCAGTTAGTGTAGGAAAGAACAAAAAAAGATATCAGAGAGAGATGTTCCAATAGCCACCATCCAGCAGAAGGATTCTGCAGTTTTACAGCAAGAGGTAAAGACAATCCCATGCCATAAAGGGGAGACAGCTTAATGAATGATACCAGGTCAAAAATAATAGGAAAAAAACATAAGTCAAAAAAAATTGAAAGTAGAAGGCCAAGAAGCCAAATTGTGACAAAGTCCCATAGTATCTAGAAAGAAGGTAATTTGTTGATAAAGTGGAAAGAGAGGTTGAAGATATGGTAAGTAAAAATCATTGATGACCTAATATAAAAAAGAGGGATCATACCTCTGAATGCATGGTGTCTCTTACAGCAAACAAAACTAAAGAACAAAGAAATAAAAAAACGGGAACCATGCTTAGATCGGAGACAGAAGGGAAAAATTTGCAAACAGAAAAATGAAAGTACGAAATACAAGAATGGACTGAGGAGCAATAGGAGAAATTCACCAACATTCTGCCCCCCTCACCTCGCATCCCAACCCTGTGGTAATGAGACAAATAGACAGCCAAAACTGAGAGAAGCAAATAATTCTTATCTATGATTCTGTCTCTCTATCTGAGCTTTGTCCCATATGGAGGACTGAAACTAGGCTTGAGAATGGCTCCAGATAAACTCCTTTTCTCTCTCAAAACATAGCAGCATCCTTTTCTTTCTCAAAACACAGAGAATCAGTACTTCTTTAGCATTTTCAACTCTCCTATGAATTTAGTAAAGGGTTGGAGGAAAGCAGAGGTCCCGTGGAGACTATTTTACTCTAATAGTAAGGCTAATTAATACTTACAGAAAATAAAGAAAACAGAGGAAAAATATTCGAGAAGATATTGTTCAGCCTAGAGTTCACCCACCCATACTTGAAGGGTGGCCAGCTGTAATCATGGAATAAAATCTGCTTCCAAAGCTGTCTTGTAGTATGGTTGGCAGCCTCCAACTTCTCAGAATAATGCTTCTATCATGACTATCCTGCACATTAAAATATAAAAAATCAGCATGACAGGGGCAGACACTCAGGAATTTTATTGGCAAGCTGGAGTCTTGTATTTCCAATACTGCCCCAAAAAACTAAAATTTTGCCAGCTATGTTGCTCAAAATTTCTCATTAGAGAGGTTTTGAGCCTTCAGTATAGGCAGTGGCTATGGAGAAACCCAAATTCTTCATGCTGGATTTTCAATGAACTCACTTGGAACTATGAAAGAGGGCTGGGCTAACCTTTCTCTAATTAGTAGCTTATATTTAATATTAGTTGTAGTAATAGCGTTGTACCTATAGCCGTTATATAGGACCAACCTGATGTTTACTCAGCTGGATTTGTTTATCTAACAACATTCCACACTTACCACTGACCTTTTTTGACAGAACTGGGTCAGGGATAGGGACTGAGAGAGCCAATGGATATGCTCCAAAGCTTTCTTCATGCAAAAAGAATTAATTCCTGTATTTTACTAGAATTTACCCATTTGTTTTGTGGAACAAAGCAGAGTGTATTAGTGTGACCCGTTATGCTACCAGTGCCAAGAAAGCTTTGCTTTTCTGTTTGGCTCTCTCGGCATGAAATCAAGGCCAATTGCCTTTTTGCCTCATAGCTTTTTCTACAGAGATGAAAGTGAAACCTTACTGACACACAGGATGGCAGTGTGATCACTGAAACAGCTTCAATCTATTGGTACAGGCATGATTAAGCTTCTCTCTTGTCATTTCCCTTAATGCATGCCAATTTGGCCTTGTCAGTCATTTCACTGAGTTTGACAGGAGCTTTCATCCACAGAACATCTCCAGGAGCAATCAAAAAGCACTATGAGTAGGGCTGGACTGGAAGTACTTTTCTTGTACTGAGTGCTCCTTTTGTTCAATTAAAAAAAATAAGCATTCTCCATTACTGAATTGTAAAATCAGTTTTAAATTTTAGAAGTGATCAGCACATCCAAAGTAAAGTAAAAGTAAGAAATAAATAATAAAAAAGGCAACATCAGAGCTAGCCTCCTAGTCTTAAAAAGAAACATAACTCCCAGTTAAAAAAAGAAAATTATTGGGGTTTTCTGGCCAACAAGTTGATCAAAAGAGTTCACCTTGCTTCTGCAACAGCCAGTCCCTGATCATTCTCTGCAGTGCAGCACTATATGTCTGTGAAGTATTTTTGCCATATTGTTAACTGATCTTCAGTGCATTCTGCCGGATGTCACTTTGATAAAGATATAACTTGATTGCTGTACCATCAGGCAAATCTGTCTCTAGGTCTGTCCCTTCATTCCTCTTCATCAAAGCTTTATGTACAGAGGGGAAAGTAAAAGTAGGAAAAACCACCAAAAAGACAGTTAAGAATGAGAGTGCTTTTTGGGTCAGTGTTTTTGATGTTTAATATTGCATAGCCAGTCTGCAAAAAACTGGTCTTTTTGCTGTTCTTTTTCAAGGGGCTTAAGTTAACTGGAAGACTCTTATTTTCTCATTTTCTCATTCATCCAAAAGTTGTCCTTCCATGAAGAAAACTTTTGAAGAGTCCCGGTTATCAAGTATCAGGAAATCCTGACTTACATCCCTTTGAGATGGAGAATGCTTTTAACGCTCTTTTTAAAAAAATAATTTTTAATTTATTCCAATAGGATTAACAAAGGTCATGAAAAATCTTAGGACTTTTTCATATTGGGAATATCATACTGCCATAAACATTCTCTTTCCTTTTTGCTGTATTTAAAAAAAAAAATGAGAAGTTATTGAAAGGACAAGTATCACAGCTGAAGCTGATCTTTGTCTCCTAATGCTTATTGGGGACACAGGCTGAAGACTTGAAGAGGCATACAGTTGTCTGAACCTGTTTCACTGCACAAGACAACTGAAGATATATTTCAGGGTTAATGACTTCCTCTGTTTGAAACAGAGAGAAAAACAACTCATGGATCAGAAAGTGACCCCTTCAGGGAATAAAACAGGTTGGAGAGTAGATATGTTTTCTGTTTCTTTTTACATTTTCCAGGGTAAATCTTAAGCAACTCTGAATCTAGCCTTTATAAGACACCCCT